TTTGAAAAAGTTGCATTTCTTTGGCCTTAACTTTATCTTTCATTGTCTCTGTTGCAGGATCTGCCTTACATGTTGGATGTGTTGTTCAAAGGTGGAACTAAACACTAATACATCATCCAGGTAAGGTAAACAAACTTTATCTCTGAATTACCCCAAACATCCTTCCATGTAGTGCTGAAAAGCAGCTGGGGCGCATTTATCAGTCCAAATGGGATTCCAACACATTTGTACATTCCCCAAGGTGTTATGAAGGCTGTACATGGTCTGATTTTCTCACTAATGAAACCTTGGTGGTAGGCCTTCCCTTGGTCCTACACTGTGAACCAGGAATTTCCCCCCAAAGTTTTCTAACATTTCCTGTATCCTAGGAATTAGATGACGGTCTGGGACTGTTTTTAAGTTCAACAGTCTGTAGTCTATGCACAGACGAAGACTTCCACCTTTCTTCCTCACACACACCACACAGGAGATTACTGTAAGGAATAGGATTTTTGGATCCAACCTCAGTTGAGTAAATCCTGTATGTATGTTTTTACTTCCTGGCAGAGGTGTCAAGGAATAGCATTTCTTAACTGGCACATTATCATTAAGCTGAATGTCCATCTCTAACTCTTTGATCATTTAGAGATCAAAGATTTTGCAAACACATCACACTCTTCTCTGAGCATCTGTTTTAACTGTAATTGTTGACTCCCTGACAGATGACTCAGATCTACAGGTGGATCCCATGGCTCTGTTTCTGCTAGAGGGCTGACCTGCTCTGTCTGGTTGGTGGCACCACTGTCCAATGGCAGCGGTCTCTGACCCTCCACAGGTTTAGTTTCTAGTGGGGAAACTGAACCAACATTATACATTCGACCAAATGTTGTTTGGCCACAGAGGGTAATATCATGGTCAATTACATTTTCAACTGTCACTGTAATCCTACCCTTATCATGACATGAAATCTGAATCAGCTGCTCAATGATAGCTAGTCATTCAGGCCATGATTCGGGTTCCAGCACTAACTGTGAACCACATAGCTGATGATGGGGTGGTCAAGGCTGCTGCTTGCAACCAGGATGGGACCCAGACAGGTTTCTCTTTCATTCTAGATACATCATTTTGGTAAAAGGTGATAATAACTCCTATCCATCCTTCATATGGTATTTCTTTTCCATTTGAATTCCAATATTCCTTCTTCAAGCAGTTCCTCCTCACATTCATACTCACTCATGCTCACAGACGTGTTCCTATATGGATTAACTAGCTGTAGTCCACCTTTGTTGCTTGCACATAACTTGTATGACAAAAATGTGTAATAGTGCATACAAATGGCAGGGTTTTCCCCAGTGTATTATAATCCTGCCAGCCTGCTATGCTTTTATCTTTGTGAAGAAAGAATTACATGTGGCATTTACATCTCAACAAGCTGCTCAGTGTGTGGCTCTGTCTTCACTGTAAAGTTTATGTATGTGGTCCCTGTTGGCTGGTGTGTTAGTGGTTAAAGAACCAGCGCTAATCATTCATCATGCAGGTTCTGTCAGGTGAGGAGTTTTCACACTCACCTCATAGTCATTCATCATGCTGGTTTTATATTATTTTATAAATATGTTTAGTATTATTTTTCCGGTTACATCAAACCATACCAAATGCTTTGTCCACTTAGTCAGCCAGAGTTCATGCGTGCAGAGATCTGAAAATCTCGTCCCATAAATTTGAGCAATCAAAACACTTTCTGTGGAGCTCATAAAAACTCCATAGACACGAAATGAAAGAGCTACTAAAGCGACATTAGCAGAATTAAATTGAATCTGCCATTTGTTGTGCATCTCAGTGCGCGGTGCAGCCGATTGAATTTATCATGCAGGGCCGGTCCAAGGTTGTATGAGGCCTTGAGCAGAATTGGACTGAAGGGCCCCTTTTGCTGCTGAAAAAATTAGAACTTTTAACAGCTTCTGTGTTAGATTTAATAAAATCTGGGAGAGGGGGAGTAGCGTAATTGGCCAAATTTTTAATACAAAAACACAGTGGACCGCCAATGGACTGGCTCAGCGCCCCGACCACCGGACTTAGCAAGTTTTCTGAGGGAAACCCTCAATGGTGTGCTTCCATAT